TCATGAGAATTCCCGGGTGTTCCCCTAGGGAGGAGAATCCATTCAGTACAAAGCTCAGCAAAGATTCCTTGACCTCTGAAAGATGGTGTGACACCACAAAGCAGGCCTGTGGACACCTGGGCAGGATCTGCTGTGTGACCACGTCCCACACATGGGATGGGCTTCTGTTTGAAGATGGCGGTGATGCCCACACTTGTCAGTGCCCCAGGGAACTTGAGAGACTGACCCACACTTACTGGAAGGTAGGGAGCAGACCCACAACACCGGCCTGCTCACGTGCCGTGAGGTATGTGGTCAGAGCACCGATGGACCTGTGATCAGGGCACAGTCTCCTGTCCACAGACTGCCAGCTCATGATCAGAACCCTGTATTACATTGCCCTGAAGAGTCATCATCACAGAATCTGGAAACGCGTGTGGTCTCTGTCATTCTCTCCCTGAAGGCACCCAGGAGCTGCACTGCCGTCCGAAGGCTGTTTCCTGATGAGCTCATCGGGACGAGGGAAACAGCAGTGGCCTGGCTCTGTGGCTTCCTCTCAGAGTGGGAAGAACTTTGCCAGAGCACTGAGCTATTCACAGCCAAATAGCTGAAACCTCCTCTGTGCTGGAGGGGCGCGTGGACAGTGAGCCAGTAGCAGGGATCTTGGGCCATGTAACAAATTACCTGAGTCTTAGCAGCTTCGAACAATAAATATATTACACATAGTGCCTGTGCGTCAGGGCCATGAGTGATCCTGGCTCGGGGCCTTTTGGGATGTCACCAGGGGCTACAGTCATGGCCCCAGCAGGGCTGGGAGCTCTGCTCAGGGTGGTTCCTGCACGAGGCTGGCAGGTTGGTGCCGGCCGTCAGCAGGAGGCCTCGATTCCTCCCTGTAAGGACTTCCCCGCCGGCCAGGTCACCTCACACCATGGCAGCTGGCTTCCCCTAGGCCCCTGGGGGTGCAACCTTCTTCTTTTCTGTTGCACACTGGAAGAATAACAATACACAAATACTAACAAAAGCTAATGAGCACAAAAAAGGTTGGTGCGTACTTTTCTTATCGGGCACGACAGATAAGAAGAACAGTCCTCAATCTTCATGCGGGCCGTGGCCAGAGGTCGAACACCCCTGCCCCTGAGCGAGTGAGCAGTCTGAGAGAGCCAGGTGAACTCTGCAAGGCCTTTATAGACAATCTGGGACATCAGGGAAATGGTGACATGTTTTAAGACCTCAAGAGCTGTCACCTACATGAGTGTTTTCACCCTTTGTCTCTCGGCACACTTGAACCTATAGTTAAACTTCTGCAGGACACTTAAATTTTGTTGTTCAAAACAAAGTGAAAAAGGAATATACGTACTGGGCTTTGAAGTTCTTTTGAAAATAATGAGCTAATGATCTTTAAACGTTTCTGAGGCGCACCTGAGATCCTCCCACAGCACACCGATGAGAAGTCACTGATCTCCGTTGTCTCTCTTTTTCTTGACATTTCCATTGCTAAACAACACCTCTGCTGATAAGTGTGCTCTATTAATATTTATTACATATTTATGTGCATCTTACATATCATTATAGTATATAACATGACACCATAAAGAGGATTTGGCTATGGCAAGGCCATCGTTGTGTGACGGCCACTGCGTCTCTAAACTGATCACCTGCTGCCACTCTGCCCCGCCCCCCACCACCTGGGGCAAGTGACAGGCCCCACCTATGTGTCTTTGTCCTCTGTAAGATAGGCTGGTAATAGGACCGACCTTGTAACTCTTCCTGAAGGATTAGAGGAGTAATGAAGGGCACGGGGCTCAGAAGAGCGCCTGGCACGGGCAGGGCTGGAGCCGCGGCAGAGTGGACTGGATCCGGCAGGCGTGGCCTCAGAGAGCCTCTCACTCCACGTCCCCAGTGGCAGTGAACAAGAGTCGTGGCATGTTCCTGGCCACACCTCAGCCCCACGCCACCCAAGCCCTGTCCTGTGGGTAGAGGCCAGGTCAGCTGGCATGCTCCGGGCATTTTTTCCCTCTTTGCGGTTCCTGACTCCCAGGTTGATCCCTGGCATGGGGCATTGTCACATGGAGGAGGTAACACATTCAGTTTGCACTCCGAGTCCTATTTACGTTTCATTTTTGTTTCTGATTCATTTTATTTATTTATATATTTTAGGCTGACCTTTTGAGAAAGAGTAGAACATCCAGACCTGGGAATGTTCAAGCAAAAGCCAGGGAGCTCCTCAGCCTCGTACGCTTTGGGAAAGGTTGTTGCCGGGTTTTATTTCTGAGTGAGCATTTTCCAGGGCGCGCCCTGCTTCCTGTGGTCGGTGCTGGCGTGTAAACGGCTTTCTCCTCCTCTTGGCCCCTTTTGCTTCTTCTCACTCAGTGCCCAGTGAATGCTGGGCTTAGTGGATAGACTACTTTATCCTCAACACACACACATCATCTGAAACGTGCCCAGGGTCTGCTGAAAGTGTGTGGATAAGAAAGTGGCTCCCAGAGCTCCTTTAAAAGGGAGGCTGTCCCCAGTGGAATGTGTTGTCTTGTGGCCGGTGGCTATTGGCTAAGCATGGAGTCCAGAGGCTGGAGGGACCTGCTGTGGTCATCTGACCTCCCACTGGCCGTCTCCTTCTGAACATGTCCGGCTGGCCTATTCAGCAGCCACCATCCCCCTGCCATCTTAACACTTCAGCAAGAAGCCACTGCGACTGTGTCTAGTCCACGTTGAGATGTGTGGACAGCAATTAAAAACACCCTGGATTTCGAGGACTTATACCAAAAACAGAAGGGAAAGCTGCTCATTAATAAATTTTGATTCGTTACATATTGAAATGATAACATTTTGATGTATTACATTAAATAACATACAGTATTAAAATTAATTTCACCTCATTCTTTGCCATACTCGGCTACACTCTTTCCCTGGTGGATGGTGCTGCCCTCGACCATCACACTCTGCTGGTCAAGCCTTGAGGACAGAGATTCTAGAGCCTTCCTTGGTATCCTTGAGCTTTGTTATTCTGGTGCTTCAGTTCTGCCCCACATCCTGCCTTAATCTCTCCTGCCTCGGTCTGGAGACTTTTACTTCCAAGATTCTTGGGCATCTCCTGGTGAAATCCCCACTTACGAGTGAGTCAAGCATCTCTTTGTGGTGTTGTGAGTACAATCAACCCATTTTCTTTCACCTTTTGACTTTCTACCTCTTTGATAACTCTTAATAACTTCTCCTGGGTCATCTCTGGTTTCTCTATATTATTTTTAAAACTCGGTATCCAAAGCCACCACACTGCTCTCACATGGGTCTGACCCATGCCAGGGACAAGTGGAAGGAATTGCTTCTGTGGTCAAGGACTTGACTGGGGCTTCTCCCGGCCTACCTCATCTAACCCAGCAGTAGGAGACCCAGCAGCCACTGTCTCATCTTGACGGGTGGGGCACTTGGGGCTCAGAGAAGTAATTTCCAAGGTACCAGCAGAAATTAAGTGGCTTATCTGGGATTTGTGCCGAGGTTTGCCTCACTCCAGAGCTCACGTTCTTCTGTTATTCTCCATGCTGGCCTCTCTCGCTGGTGTTTCTCTTTGAAAGCGTGTTCTCTCCTGGAGTCTTGAGAGGCCTCGCAGTACAGGCTGAAGCTTTTGTAACTTATGGTCACCAGGGACCTGTGGGCTTATTCTGTCATGTTTGTGCCTGGCTGGAATCGTGCAGTCCATCTGCTACATTCCAGAAACCCAAACCTGCAGAGACTGCGTGAAGCCAGCAGGACTGCCCAGCCCTGGCCCTTGTGGGGTCATCAGGAGGCCAGAATTGGGGTGTCCAGGTGTCAGGGGTGACTTACCTACAAGGGATCTTTCTTCCTGTGGCCCCAGAGTCTCTGAGTACCTACCAACCTCAGAGCGAGGTTGAGATGTGCGGTCAGTGATTAAAAACACCCTGGATTTCAAGGACTTACACCAAAAACAGAAGGGAAAGCTGCTCATTAATAAATTTTGATTCATTACATGTTGAAATGATAACATTTCACGAGGGTGTCTGAGAGCATGTTAAACACAGATCCCCACGTGGGGGAACCTTGAGGACGTGGTGCTCGGTGAATCAGGACTGTCACCACAGGACACGTCCTGTATTGTCACATTCCTCAGAAGAACCTGGAGTCGCCAGACTCACAGAGGCAGAAAATGGAATAGAATGGTGGTTTCCAGGGCCTGGGGAGAGGTGGAATGGAGAGACGTTGCTTAATGGGAGCCAAGTTTCAGTTTGGGAAGATGAGAAGGTTCCCCAGGTGGACAGTGGCGGTGGTCACACATGATAAATGTACCTAATACTGAGGAACTATACACTTAATAATGGTTAAGATAATCAGTGATGGGTGTATTTCACCACAGTCAGAACACACATCATCATAGAGAGAAAAGTCGCCTTTTGGGCCTGTGAGTCGGGGTGCCCCTGGAGCCACGTCCTGGATTGTTGTTCCTTCTAGCTTTGGGCCCTCGGTCTCTCCTCTCAGGCAGCTGTTGCCAGAAAGCAGCAACTTGCTGCACTGAGATGACGGAGTCCTTTGTCAGCTGCGTAGTTCTCCACCTAGGACACCTTGTCAACTTCACACAAACGCCTTTGCCAGGATTTAAACCATTTTTCATGTCTGCAGGAGGGAAATGGGTTCACCCCAGGGTGGACCTTGGGTTACGTGGGTTTCCTCCACCCCATCTGCCTGGGAGTAGGGCCGAATGTGCCCGAGAGAGGGAGCAGGACCACAGATTCTGTGGGTGGTACCCGCAGTACTCAGAGCTTCCGTAGAGGTGTGAATGGGAATTAGATCAAGGGTCCAAATGGGTAGGAATGTTTGATCTGCGTCTTGCTGAAATACTTGACCCCCAAAACTGTCAGCCACCCACCTGATGCATAGGCCGTTTTGAGAGAATGCAGCCAGGGTACACAGATGAGGACTCTAACCCACAGGAACCCTCTTTACGGTGTGCTGGTGAGTGTCCCTGTGGGTGTATTTGCTCATTTGCCCTGTATATTTTCCTTTTCAGGAATCATTAACCAATGGCAACAGGAGTCCAAGGATAAAGTGATTTCCCTCCTGTTAACTCACCTGCCTCTGCTGAAGCCAGGAAACCTGGACGCGAAAGCTGAGTATATGAAACTGCTGCCCCAGATCCTGGCGCACTCCATCGAGCACAGCCGGCACATCGAGGAAAGCAGGCAGCTGCTGTCCTATGCGCTGATACACCCGGCCACCTCGCTGGAAGACCGCAGCGCTTTAGCCATGTGGCTGAATCACCTGGAGGACCGCACCGCAACCAGCTTCAGTGGCCAGAGCCGCAGCCGCGCAGACTCTGTGGATTACGGGCAGACGCACTTCTATCACCAAAGACAGAACTCCGACGACAAGCTCAACGGGTGGCAGAACTCTCGGGATTCTGGGGTTTGCATCAATGCCTCCAGCTGGCAGGACAAAAGCCTGGGGTGTGAGAACGGCCACGTGCCCCTCTACTCCTCGTCGTCTGTCCCCACCACAATCAACACGATTGGAACCAGCACAAGTACAAGTAAGTGTCCTGGAATCCTGAGTCGGATCTGGTTGGCGACTGTGTGTGTGGCATGTCTCACTGTCAGGGTCTGCTCCGCGCACCTGTCACCTGGGAGCAGGGCTGATTGGCATCGGCTGTGGGTAGGGTTCTCTCAATCCCATATCTGCTGCTCTTTCACTCTGGAAAGATGAAAATGCTGGCAGGTAAAATCGACTGGTGGTCCAAATTTGGGTAACAAATAGACCAAAAATAAAGAACTTCCAGAGGGAGCACCTGGTGAAAGCAGGAAACCACCTGTTTCCACAGACAGACGTGCCTCTCACCCACATGCCTGTCACCGGGTTTGGATTCGCTGAGACACTGATACGCCCTGTGATTCTCTAAACCTGACTCTAACCTGGGTAACCAGCCAGCCCATGGGCTTGTGTGTTTTCTCTTTTTCTTATCTTTTCCTTTCTTTCTTTTGTCTTTTTCTCTTTTCTTTCTTTCTTTTTTTTTTTTATTTCACCCTGGAATGTTCCCTCCCCTGCATTGTTGGTTTTCAGCCCCGTTGTCGGGGCAGTTTTGCTTCTGGTGAGTGGGTTTGCTGGGAATGCCGCTCTGTGCTGTGGCCTGGTGTGAGCCTGTGCACTGCCTGTCGCTCGTGCAGCCCTCGTCCAGCCCTCGTCCAGGCGGGTGAGGAACTGATGTGTGGGCACAGAGGGCAGAGGGCAGCCCTTTGCTCTTCCAACTGCTAACGCAGAGAACTGTGCCCACAGCCAGGCACCAGGGTTAGGAGTCCTCTCTGTGGCTCCCCACGGGGCCACGCCAAGTGGCACACACCACTGGGGCAGCATGGGGAGTGGCCGTGCTGTCACCAAACGGTATCCCCTGACACTCGGTCACACGTGCCCGTGCCCATCAGTACAGCATCAGAGCTGAGATAACTTTCTCAGAGGAAAGCTTTTGTGAGTAAACCCTTGGTGTGACAGTCAGCATGCAGGAGTTGGGAGAGGATTAGAGGAGTTTGGGAGAGGCTTAGCAGTTGGTAGTGCCTTGGCCTCCACTTCCACATGGATGTCTTGGTTATGGGTTGCTTAGACGGTGTTCTCAAGGGCGTGGCTTATGGGACATAACCACATTAGCTAAAGCAGTTCCTTTGTAGGGAGCTGGCAGCGATGTCACTATGTGTGGGTAACTTGCACGTTTAGGGAACTCAGTGAGTTTGCATCGTGAATTTACCACCTGAGAGGTTCTGATGGCAGCCGGTGTGTTCCAGCAGGAAGAGTCTCCCCAGCCTCTGTGACGCACGGTGATGGCCGGGGCTTTAAAGCAGACACGTGAGGGCAGATGAGGGAGTCACTTGGCCTGACTCTCTTCGGTCACCAACAGAATCTAGTAACCTACAAAACTGTTTAATAGCTAGGAGAGATGCGGGCTCCAAGCCACCTGCCCTCTCAAAACTTGGTCTTTTATATTTAAGGGGTTAAATTTTATGTCATTTATTTTGAAATTAGTCTTGAGTCTTTGTATATTTCTATCTACTGATTTATACATTCAGGATCGGGTCTCACCAAGTTAATTAGCACATTTGAAATAGTCATCGGCTTACAGTAATCATGCACTTACTTTTGGCTGTGGCCACCCACAGCCTGGCAGAAAGGAGGTGACGGTCATGGTCTTCCCGGCCTTTGAACCTTTGTCTAATATTTGAGCTGGAAAGGACGTGGGGGCTTAACCAGATGACCAGGTGACATCCCTCTGGAGGAAGGGGGCAGACCCTTTCAGAGCATCAGCAGAGAAGATGAAAGGACTCAGACGCCCTCCAGAAAGTTCCATTCCAGCGCCTGTGCCACCAACTCCAGTCTTTCCCTAATGTCTCTTTAACGCGACATGCTAATGCTGTCGCTGTCCTCCAGGTGGTGGTTCAGCCGGGTTTGTCAAAACTGCAAATCTTTGGGTCACTCGTTCCCTCGTGTCTCTGTTAAACAAGTACCTAGCGTCTGGGAGGCAGCCTGATGATGGAGGGAGCCAACGACTTCTCCTAGCTCCAAGTCCCAGCCCTGCAGTCTTTTAACTACAATACAGCCCAGCTATTTCCCTCTCCGATCAAAGTCCCCACTTGTAAAATGGGAACATTGGTGATCGATCCTGATCCCCTCAGGATTGTGAGGAGAGTGGAGAAGGTTACATGAACACCCTGCCTGGGCCAGAGCAGCTGCAGCTAGCACACAGTAGGTGTCCACTAGAGGAATAAATGGGAGAACCTGAGAAAGGTGGCCGGGAGCACAGAGACAGCCCCGATACCCACGAGAAAGGCGGCCAGGGACACAGAGACAGCCCCGATACCCACGAGAAAGGCAGCCAGGGGCACAGAGACAGCCCCGATACCCACGAGAAAGGCAGCCAGGGGCACAGAGACAGCCCCGATACCCACGAGAAAGGTGGCCGGGAGCACAGAGACAGCCCCGATACCCATGGCCTGGGCCATCAGTCTCAGTTCTGGTGGACGCCTGACGTGGTGCCTTTCCCTGAGCCCAGGCCATGCAGAGTAGCTGGGGGCTTAAGCATGCGGTGACCTCTGGTTGTTCCAGTGCATGGAAAACAAGGCTTGTGCCGCACGGAACGGCTCTATTTCTCACCTCTTTCTAAACTGCACAGAACATCGTGACCTGTGACAGTTATGAAGGGGAGTTAGGAAGCCCCCCCCCCCAGTGAAGTGCTTATCTTTGCCTTGGTTTGTTCCACTGATATTTTGTCCCTCTGGTCATTGTCCCTTCAACAAACACCTCAGCATTTGTGGCTTCCTCCCTGTGTGGGTTCCAATCACTCAATTCTGTCCACCTCCTGTGTGCCCACCATGCAAGTCCATAGGAAATGCCCTGAGACTTAAGTAAGAAACTATTTCCATTTGCTAACTTGGTGAGACCCGATCCTGTGATATAGTGGGAGAGAGAAAGTGCATCAGCCATTCTCACCACGAAAAATGAAATATCCCTGTTATTTGCCAGACTTATACACAGAAATTTTACCTAACAAATCATAATTTATATGAAAGTGCAGTAAAATAATATTCTAAGTGCTGCTGTGAGGCATATGGGAGTACGTGTGGGTTGGATGGGGTCTGTCCTGTGAGGAAGTGGGATGTGGGCTTGCAGGGACAGGGAGGGAGGGTCTGGAGGAGGGGCACACCGGGTGGGACAGTGCTTGGGGGACGGAGGGGAGAGCGGACAGAGAAGAGAAAGAAGCTCCCCAAGGGAAGAGTAGTGAAGGGAGCTGGCAGCAGTGACCAAGGACGTGACCAAGGCCCATGTGGTCACACCACAGGCACAGGTCATCTGGGACAGAGCAGATGGGCAGCAAGTGACCAGCGCAGAGTCAGCAAGTTTCAAAACCTCAGTTGTGAGGTCATCAAGGTACAGTTAGGGCTGGGAACAGATACAGGGCAGAGGGAAAGGATGCTGCCATCCAGGTGGGGTCAGGATTCCATGTCAACATGGACATACCTCCATTCACTTAGACGTGTTGACTGAGTGCCTGCTGTACGCCGAGGCTTTGTGAGGCACCTGAGACACTTCAGCGGGTGAGATGGAGCTGGCTTCCCACATGGTGCTGGCAGTCCAGTGCACACATGTGGTGCTACGTAAGAGCACTGTGTAGGTTATTGGAGGCTGATAGACATGGCAATAAGCAGAGGGGAGGGGGCACTTTTGAAGACAGGAATGTTTCTTCCTTACCCCTATATCCCAGCAGCTAGAACAGTGTGTGGCTCACTAAAGTCACAGATATTTTGGAAATGGCAAATTCCTGGCATGTATTCTGTTAGGTAACAGCTGTTTCTCACCAAGCCCAGATGCTGAATCCCCCTCAACGTGCCCCTGTAGGCAGCCACTACAGTCCAGTACACAGTGGGGTGCTGACTGGGGGCCGCCTGCCTGCCCCACTGCAGCCACTACAGTCCAGCAC